AATAACCAGCATTTCTGTTTTGCACATACGATGAGATCTCTTCTCCTAGATGCTCGGCGTCAATGATGGTGAACATATAATCCTGTATTCTCGGGACGATCGAGGAGGAATGGAGTACAGTACCAAATTCTCCTGGCTGTTGAAGGCACGCATTCCTTCTTTCCATTTCTCTTTGGTTACCCATATGGTAATGATTCTAGTCTTATGGTCACGAGAAGTCATCAGTTCTTGATGGCGGCTTCGCTTTGTGGGAGAAGAAAGGACTTGAAATTAGTACTGAAGACGTACAGCTTCCGGTAACTTTTGGTGCTATCGTCATAGTTGTGAGATGCGAAAGCTGCGCAGACTTGATCGTGATCACTCTTAGGCTGGAACGTGGAAGGCCAAAGATAATATCGCTCCTAACAATATCAAATATGAGGAGTTGAGAAAGGAGGAAGGTGGAAAGCAGTACATAGAGCGGACTGACGAAGTAAGTCGTGCTCAGTTATCATTATTGTAGTGAGCAAGCAAGCCCGGGCGGATTCGATCGGAAATTTGATATAGGGACCAGTGCTTGCCATGTGACACCACCTCACCCGCCTCCCCCTTTCCTTAGCCTTATTCACTGAAGAGGGACTAGAATCAATCCCTTATTCTCATGGTCAGTGGGTTATCCGTCCCACAGAAGATCATAACGTGCCTTCATTTTGCAAACGGCTGAACATTCAAGCGTTGCGCAATTGTTATCAAAACCTCTGATTTATGTTATGACTGGACAAAAGGTAGCGGTTTTAGTGTTGACGTTTTTCTCTGTGCTAGCGGTATTTGTAGTTAGATGTTATTGGCCCGAGGTCTTCCATAGATGGTCTTCCTCGAAAACCTAAACGTGATTCGAGAATCGAGGTTTCCTTTCAATCTGTCCAACTACATACTTTGCCCCTTCTACATAGTGTTCCTTACGGGATAGAGATCAACTGAAAATCCGAGCTAGGAAAAGAGCTCGTCGGGTCCACTACCGCATGCGCAGAACGGTGCGCAAATGGCCTAGTAACCTAACCTCAATGGTGCAAAGAAAATCACATAAACAAGTGCCTATGTTCGGTAAAGAAAGAAGTTGCAGATTGCAAAAAATGGGTTAGTTTTTCAGTGGTGCATGAAGTTGAATCCCTCGAAGGTTGTGTTATAATATGATGAGTGCAATATGGAGGAGAATCGGGTGGGTTCGTCTCTCATATGCTGCGCCTAACGAGGAGAAGAAAAGTAGACTTGAAGAAATGAAAGGATTATTTGGAAATATTAAACGAATCTTCCACGGAAAAAGCTCCGCCTCCATTACCACAGAAAAACGATACCCCTTAGGCCCCTAGCCTCATGAGCACCTAGCCATAACATCGCCACCATTAACCACGAACAGAACATATCTTTGTTTCGATAATATAGTACCGAGAATATCCTTCATTCGTCCTTTCCTCTACCTCTCACGAGGAGTTTTCCGGGCCCGATTTATCCCTCCTATAAGGAAAATATTTCCAGATATCTACATTTTCTTCTCTTTGCTTATTAATACTACGTAACATGTTGCTTATTAGTCCCTATTGTTACTTTACAATTTACCTCTCTCCCCCAATTTTTATACCTTTTTCTGAAAATTCCTGGGTTCATTGCGCAAATTCGTATGTGTGTACCAAATGCCATCAAAGTCGGGCTGGGAGCTACAGATCCGCCAACCAAACTAACATTGCTTTTGTTGGAAGGAATACTACCGTTTGGAATGCTCACCGGTTCTCCTCAGTGGTTTCCTAAAAGACAGTGAAGTTTTTGAAAGGATGCCTGCAATCGTCTTCAAAAAGATGGCCCTAGTTAAGCCAGCTGAGAAGGGGCTGCACCAGACTTGTGCTGAAATGGTAGGATACTTTCACTGTGATGGATTGATGATGCGCAAACATTCCTATGAATTTGATTCCGCAAGATATTCTGATAAATGTGCTCACCTGCCTCTCACGCGCGCTCAAAAAGGGTGCGTTTTTGACCCTATGTTGCAAAAAAGTCTCCGTAAAAAACTGCCCACTTGGGCTGATAAGTTCTAATTTTTCTGTCGTGCAATGCAGACCCTACGCTAACCAGCTGTATACTTACTTTGTCCAGGCCTTACTTTTTAGCAAGTAAGAGGGATGATTTATCAGAGGATGTCAAAACCGACCTGCCTCTACCTTTTTAACTCAAAAAATTCCGAGCTTGGATCGTGCAAGGTTTCCATTCAAACGGGTCATTGGGGATCTTTTAAGGGGTGAACGCTGTGAGGCGCCTAGACATAACGGGTCAGTGCGCCGTGTGAGGGGGGTGTGCCTGGGGAGTGGTTCTGCCCCGCGCGCGGGGGTGGTGGGGGGGGTGGGGTCCGGTTGGGCCCGGGGCCGTCGGGCTCCGGGCGCTGGAGGCGGGTGCGATAGAGGCGTTGGGGAAGCAGGCGGGGGGGTGGTAATTGTCTTTTTCCGGGGGGTGCCCTTCCCCTCGCTCGTGGGGGGGGGGGGGGGGGGGGGGGGGGGGGGGGGGGCGGGGGGGGGGGGGGGGGGGTGGGGGGAGGGGGGGGGGGTGGGGGGGGGGGGGGGGGGGGGGGGGGGGGGGGGGGGGGGGGGGGGGGGGGGGGGGCACACTCGGACCCGCTCCGTTTGCGGTTTCGATTTGCGGCGGGGGGGGGGGGGGGGGGGCGAACTTTGCTGGCGCGGGGGGGCCGGTGTGGCGGAGGCGGTGCGATACAGCCAGGGGGGAGCTGTTAGATGAGCGGACCTAGTATAGTTCAACACTTTATATTAAACTAATTCGCTCTCACGTTTTGAACTAAATATTAGGCTGGTCTCAAAACCGCTCTGATCGAAGAATAAAGCGTACATTAAATCGAGAGATTTACGTATAAATTCGTAATGCTCGACGCCGTGGAAGTACATGCACCATTGGAAGCAGTAGTCAGGGGCCAAGGAAACGAAATGTTGCGTTTTTGTGGTCAAAGGTGCGCTAGTTGCAGCGTACAAGGCTTGCCATTCCTTTCTGAGCCCCGCCACGGTCTGTGCTCCGCCCCCAGCAGCAGCGCCCTTCGATTGCCAATGTGACGAGATATTCCACTTCCAGAGTGTATCCTATAACTTTTCATGGGATGCGTGATCAATCAAAGCATGATGCTTGCTGAAATGATAGAGGCTATCAGCATAACATGTGCAAACGACCTCCTAATTGGTTGCTAGCTCGTCCATTATCGGAGGTCAACGGGCAAAGAAAGGGGTCCCATTTTGCGCCTTCTTGACGGATTTCTTTGCTTTTTTCGCCACTGGGGCATTATTCAGCATCTCCACTTCCACTATGAACCCAGTCCAAACTTATCGTAATCCCTCCTCGCTTTAAGATATCCCGGTACCTAATACTAATTCTACACACAAGACAAAATGATCACTCCTTCCGTGGAAGATTCCTTTAAGGGGAAGAAGGCCAACAATAAGCGGTCAAGGTGAAAGAAGGATGAGAGCTAGAAGTGATTTATGAAGAGACTTCCTATGAAAACAGTTCTATTTCAGATTCGCATTGCAAAATAATTGTGGGTGAGATTAGGAATAAAGCCTTCCTCACGTCCATGCACTATCCTCGCAATTCGGCTCAAGAAACGTCACGGTTTTCTTTGTAGTGTACACTTATCCCTCGGTTCAGATGATAGATTGTTATCTCAGTGATTATAGGTAAACTTTCTGGATGCTCGCATTCGTGGTCAGTTCAATGGCACCGAGGATACGGGGATGGATGTGCATAGTTCGTCTTCGATTCTTCCTCATAAATTTTTTCACTTGGTCTCCGTTAGTCCACTTCTGAGAATCATCATGTAAGCTGAGATCACTGAGCTATTACTAGTCCACCAGCAAATCTATTCTAATTCCATTTTCCTTTTGTCGTTAAGCTGGCAGAGTGGAGAGCACTGTATCCCTGGAGGAAAATCACGCTAGAAGACACAAGGAATGACCACCTCCGGCGTTGATTTGACCTATTCATCGGAAACGGGCGACCACACCTACAAATTCCCTGTGGGCATCTATGTGACATAGAATGATTCCTTGACATCTTCTGAGTGGACTTTGCAAAACGCAGGCAATGCACAGTCAGCATTTCCTTGCCATCCATTCTCGTCCCATTCAAACCGATGGATGGCTTTCACGCGCAAGTTGGTGCTGGGTGATTTACCGATTCGATCAGTTCTGAACCTCCTACCCAGCCGCGTAGTTGCTAATTTACTATAGCTCTTGTAGGTTAGGGCCAGAACTTGAGGAGCCAGAAATCATTCGTTGGACAGTTTGGTATGCCATTCATTTATTATTCACTACATATACAGGAGGGGGGGGGGGGGCAAACCCTAAAATCACCTTGATCAACTTCGCCCATCGCACAGTGTTTTCATCATGCAATGCCGCGTTGTGTAAGTTTACTGCGTTCCCAAATTTTCTATACAGTACTCGCCGTTTGAAATCGAAAATTCACGCGAATAACGCGAATCCTCGTTAATTTCGTGAATTCGTTATAACTCGGTCAGAGTGAAGTATTCCAGAAACGGAAAACACCGTTGAACTCAGCTCTTCAAGCGCTACAAGATGGTGCTTTATATTTTCAGAAAGCTTGATTTCGGAATGCGCCATGCACTCGATTTCATCTCAAAAAGTAGTTGCTCGCATGTGATGTGTATATAATCCCGCTTATGCGGGCTAACCGCTACACACAAAGAAGGGCCTCAAAACTTACCCCAGAATGCGCCACGTACTCAATCTCATCCACTACATTGTGAGATTAGATGAATGTTATTTTCCGAATTCTTAGATCTTCATTTCGTTTTTAAGCGCTTACTGCTTTACGTGTTCCCTCTGCTCTCAATATCCATCCTCTGTATATCAAGTGGAATCTTTGAACAGTTCTCAGCAGGCATAGTGGGCCTATTATGTGACATTTTCCATTTTCAGAGGAGATGTTTTGCAGAAAGCTGTGAAGATAGCGAACAATTTCCTTCACTGTCGTAGACTACGGTCACTTGTCTGTAAGGATTATATGGAAACCTTGGTCGCAGGTGAGCGTTCTTCCGTGGTGTGACCCCAAACATCACCCCTTGTCATGCCTTTGCCCCCTATTACGTGACAAGTCCCATTTTTAGAGGAATGTTTTGTAGAAAGCTGTGAAGGAAGCGAAGAATTTCCTTCACTGTCGTAGACTATGGTCACTTGTCTGTAGGAATTATGTGGAAAACTCGGTCGCAAGTGAGCGTTCCTTCCGTGGTGTGGCCCCAAACATGCCTCCTCGTCATGCCCTTGTGGAATGTTCAGATTTTTTGCATTTCCAGATGAACTCGCAGACCTGAAATGTGCCCCGTTAGCTTCCCCGTGAAAAATGCTATCGAATGATATGCATTACTTCCCCAGTTGAAACTTTGGTTTTTCACCGTTTTCAGCCTTCCCCTATTGCCGGATCCCACGATTACTGCCCCAAAATCTCAAAGTTTCATTTTTCGTCGAAACTTTGTCTATTGGGGTAATTCGATGCCCTGATTACGAATATGACATTCATTTTTGATGCTGGTGTCATTTGGCGCCATTTGGCGCCGTTTGGCGCCACGGCTGTTTTCACCAAATCT